CTAATTTTGTATATTCAGTAGAAATGGGGTTTCACCATGTTAGCCGGGCTGATCTTGAACTCCTGACCTCTAGTGATCTGCCCACCTCGGCCATCCAAAGTGCTGGGATTACAGGTGTGAGCCACCACGCCCGGCTGGATTACCACGTTTTTAGGGAAAGAAAGTTGCATGTAATGTTTTTAACGTATTAACTTTCATAGACAAAGAATTGGGAGTGAAAAAAATTGTTTGTTCTCCAAAGCTTACAAAATGTTCCACCCAAAAAAACCCACCTTTTTTCTGACTAGAAAAGTACTTGTTAAAAAAGCCTGTGTGTGTGTGTATGTGTGTGTGTGTATCTAGAAAAATAACCAAGAAATGACATGCCATGACATTCTCTCTCCTGATGTTAAATGTTAATAGTCTGATTTTTAATTTTCCTCAGGTTTTTGTTCCATGCATGTATCAACACTTTGAGGTATATTTGCTCTAAAGCATCATTTAAGTGTAGTTTTCTGTGTTTACCAATGACTTTTCTACATACTCTTCTGTATTTTTTCTGTGTAATTATTTTTGGTTCTATATTTGTATAAAATTATAATGTATTAAAAAAAAATACACTGGGCACGGTGGCTCACACCTAGCACTTTGGGAGGCTGAGGCGGGGGAATCACCTAAAGTCAGGAGTTCGAGACCAGCCTGACAAACATGGAGAAACCCTCTCTACTAAAAATACAAAAAAAAAAAAATTAGCCAGGCATGGTGGCGCATGCCTGTAATCTCAGCTACTCAGGAGGCTGATACAGGAGAATCATTTGAACCCGGAAAGGAGAGGTTGTGGTGAGCCAAGATCGTGCCATTGTACTCAAACATGGGCAATAACAACAAAACTCCATCTCAAAAAACAAACAAACAATAAAAGCCAGATTCTTCTTAATCTATTTGACCATTGTGAGTTGTAAGAAAAAAGAAAAAGTAGTCTTAGCACAGTGGCTCACACCTGTAATCCCAGCAATTTGGGAGGCCAAGGTGGGAGGACTGCTTGACACCAGTTTGAGACCAGCCTAGGCAACATACACAAGACACCATCTCTACAAAAAAATTTTTTTTCAAGTAGCCAGGCCTGGTGGTGCATACCTGTAGTCCTAGCTACTTGGGAGGCTCATGTGGGAGGACTGCTTGAGCCCAGTAAGCCATGATCATGCCACTTTATTCTAGCCCGGGCAAAAAAGAGAGACCCTGTCTCTTAAAAAAAAAAAAAAAAAAAAACAACAACATAAAACATGGCCAGATGTGGTGGCTCACACCTCTAATTCCCAACACTTTTGGGAGGCTGAGACGGCTGGATCACTTGAGCCCACGAGTTCAACACCAGACTGAACAACATAGGAAGATCCTATCTCTACAAAAATAAAAAAATTAGCTAGCCATGGTGGCACAAGCCTATAGTTCCAGTTACGTGGGAGGCTGAGGTGGAAGGATCACTTGAGCTGTGGAGGCTGAGGCTGCAGTCACTGCATCCCAGCCTGGGAGACCTGAACTTTTAAAAACAACAAAAAAAACCCTAATTATTCAAAACCAAAACAAAATCATGAATATGTAAAATAAGAGGCATATTTATCAAAATATTTTTATGCTAACTATGAGTTATCCCTGGGAATGATCGGGGGACTCTTATTCTTCTCTGTGATGTTCTGTATTTTTCAAATTATAAAAAAGTGGACTGGCTGGGCACAGTGGCTCGGCACTATAATCCCAGCACTTTGGGAGGCCAGCCGGCAGATCACATGAGGTCAGGGTTTCAAGACCAGCCTGGCCAACATAGTGAAACCCCGCTTCTACTAAAAATACAAAATTAGCCAAGCGTGATGGCACACGCCTGTAATCCCAGCTACTCAGGAGGCTGAGGCAGGAAAATCATTTGAACCTAGGAGCCAAAGGTTGCAGTAAGCAAAGATCATGCCATTGCACTCCAGCCTGGGCGAGAGAGTAAGACTCTGTCTCAAAAACAAAAACAAACAAAGTGGACTGTATTACATCTGTAATATATTTAAATAAATAATTGTATATTGTTTCATACTTAGTTTATATCAGTATTTCATACTTAATTTCTGTTAACAAAAATAAACTCACTTGGGCATGAATGCTCCATTGGCTAGGGATGGTTCATCGTCATCCAGCCCATCAAAAAGATGTGACTTCGCTGTGCCTGTTGTTTGTAAAGCCTTTGGCCGGACTCTAGTGGCAGGGCGGGGCGTCAATTTATAATGAGTAGGTGTCGTAAGAGCCTTCTGGGCTGCTGGATTTGTTGGTTTCAATCTCTGAAAAACAAAAGCATCAAGGAAATTTTTACTTTACTTTAAATGTATTGCACTGGCCTTAAAAATCACAAGACCAGATTTCAACCCTCATCTTTGCCATTCACTTGCTCCCATAAAACAAGGATGTTAACACCTAACTTTGTACATGTTGAGTATCCCTCATCCAAAATGCTTGGGACTAGAAGTATTTTGGATTTTTTTGTATTTTGAAATATTTGCATTACACTTACCAGTTGAGTATCCCAAATGTGAAAATCCAAAATGTCCCAATGAGCATTTCCTTTGAATGTCACGTCAGTGCTCGAAGTTTTGGATTTTGGAGCATTTTGGATTTGGGATGCACTATCTGTATGTATGTGTGAATACTAACAGAACTGTCTTTATCGTTCTAGAATTGATTTGTACTCATCTTTCCAGCCCCTAATTAAAATGATTTGTCTGACATTTAAAAAAATCTAATCAAGATAATGAATCTGTTAGCCAGACAGTGGTGGTGTGCACCTGTAATCCCAGCTACTGGGGAGGCTGAGGCATGGGAATCGCTTGAACCCAGGAGGTGGAGGTTGCAGTAAGCTGAGATCACACCACTGCACTCCAGCCTGGGTGACAGAGCGAGATTCTTTCTCCAAAAAAAACCAAAGATAACGAATCTGAAAAAAGTTTTGTAAATTAAAATGTACTAATACAACATAATAATATTCTCTTCGTTCTATAGTTCATCTTGCAATTATTCTGCTTTGAAAAACAGTATGTTCATTTGATGAAAACACGGTATCAAAAAAATCCTAAGCCACAGTCATTACTTTTCAATTAAACCAAAAATCTTATGCTTCAAGAAAAACTGAGACTCTGTCATGAATTAATATTCAACTTCTGTGAAATCCAAATCGCTCTGGGAAAAAAAGGACAGATACTAGCTTGTATTTATTCATCTTTTAGTAAACATTAATAATTAAACATTAAGTCAAACTCTGGGTACCAGAAATAAAAATAAAGTTACTTCCTCTGATTACTGAGGAAACTACAAGTTAGTGGAGGACACACAACTAAATTTCAGGGTGCTTCAAATGGCATCTCTACAATATCACACAGCATCCTGAGGATGTTCTACATTTGTTTTCCTAACAGTATAAATGAGATTACATAACCACTTCAAATAACAACGTCTAGCATATCTCGCCTGTCACAATTTATTCTTCTCTTCCCAGTGCAAGCTGTTTACACTTAACAATGAATCTTTGTTATTCCCAGATTGTTGTGATCTTTCACAATTCTGTCTTTGTTTGGAATGCTTGACCTAGACTTGCCAAGTCCTACATACCCATACAAAAAAGTTAAATGTTCCTCTTCTGAAAACAAAGCCTTATCAAATTCATCCAAGCATCTATGATCTTTTCACTATTATATTTTAAATTTTATCTTAAAACTCATGTGACATAGAATTCACCATTTTAACGCATCTACTTCAATAGTTTTTAATATATTTACAAGGTTGTGCAACCATCACCACTATTTGATTCCTGAAAACTTTGATGACTTCAAAAAGAAACTCAGTTCCTCTCAATTTCTTCCCTTTTCCTTTGCAACTATGAATCTGCTTTCTTTCTCTATGGATTTGCCTATTCTGGGTATAGCATATAAATCAAATCATATGACTTTTTGTGTCTGGCTCCTTTCACTTAACATTTTCTTTCTTTTTGTTTTGAGATGGAGTTTCCCTCTTGTTGTCCGGGCTGGAGTGCAATGGTGCAATCTCGGCTCACTGCAATCTCCACCTCCCAGGTTCATGTGATTCTCCTGCCTCAGCCTCACAAGTAGCTGGGATTATGGGCATGTGCCACCATGCCTGGCTAATTTTGTATTTTTCTTTTTAGTAGAGATGGGGCTTCACCATGTTGGTCAGGCTGGTCTCGAACTCCTGACCTCAGGTGATCTGCCCACCTCAGCCTCCCAAAGTGCTGGGATTAAAGACATGAGCTACCATGCCCATCGTGCCCGGCCTTCACTTACGTTTTCAAGGTTCATTTATGTTATAACATGTATCAGTACTTTACTCCTATTTATGGCTGAATATTCCATCATATAGATATAAAACATTTTGTTTTTCCATTCGTCATTGACAGACACTCTTTTTTTTTTTTTTGAGACGGAATCTCGCTCTGTCGCCCAGGCTGGAGTACTGTGGCCGGATCTCAGCTCACTGCAAGCTCCGCCTCCCGGGTTCCCGCCATTCTCCTGCCTCAGCCTCCCGAGTAGCTGGGACTACAGGCGCCCGCCACCTCGCCCGGCTAGTTTTTTGTATTTTTAGTAGAGACGGGGTTTCACCGTGTTAGCCAGGATGGTCTCGATCTCCTGACCTCGTGATCCGCCCGTCTCGGCCTCTCAAAGTGCTGGGATTACAGGCTTGAGCCACCGCGCCCGGCCCACAGACACTCTTCTATTATCACATATACTCTACTGAACCAGTGTAAATTTAAGTGCTTGTCTGTCTGATCTTTGTCACTGGTTAGCAACCTTAATAAATTCTTGTTTATTTTCATTTTGCATCCTCAGCACTTAACAACACAATGCCTTACACATATTCAGCCACCTAAAATTAGGCTGCATAAATAATTTTCGTCTAATCATTTACATGTCACTTTAAAAGGTACTTTCATATTCTTATCTTGCTTCTCATATCTAGTTTACAGGATAAAATTTAAGAACATAGTAAGATCCCATTTCTTTTTTTTGAAACGAAGTTTTGCTCTTGTTGCCCAGGCTGGAGTGCAATGGCACAATCTTGGCTCACTGCAACCTCTGCCTCCCAGGTTCAAGCAATTATCCCGCCTCCCAAGCAGCTGTGATTACAGGTGCCCACCACCATGCCCAGATAATTTTTGCATATTTAGTGGAGACGGGGTTTCACCGTGTTGACCAGGCTGGTCTAGAACTTCTGAACTCAGGGGATCCACCCGCCTCAGACTCCCAAAGAGCTGGGATTACAGGCATGAGCCACGGCGTTGGGTAGATCCCATTTCTTAAAAAAAAAAAAACAAACCAAAAACCAAACCAAACAAAACAAAACAAAAAAACAGAAAATAAAAAGCTGAGGGATACATGTAATGATATTAGTGATTGAAAAATAGTTTCTGTATATTGAGCAATTTACTATGATCCTGGTGTGCATTATCTCATTTGGCTCTCAACATTGAACACTACTACGGTCCCCATTTTACAGAAGAAACAAATTTACGGAGGCAAAATGACTTTCTCATTTTCCAGTGTCTCACAGATGATTAGTGGTAAAACAAGGATCAAACAGACCAAAGCCTACACTTTTAACACCATGTGAGTAAAAGATCATGTTTTTACACTAGAGTTTTAAGAGATTAAACACAAAGCTATGTAAAAATCAAGAGGTTAAGATTTTGGTTATGCCACTTAAGAGCATTATGATTTGAGGAAAGTCAGCCTCTCTAAGCCTTAGTTTGCTTATTTATAAAATGACAATAGGGCTGGGCATAGTGTCTTATACCTGTAATCCCAGCATGTTGGGAGACTGAGGCAGGAGGTTTGCTTCTAGGAGTTCGACACCAGCAAGACATCATCTCAGAAAGAAAAAAACTTAAAATTGTTTTAATTAAAAATGAGAATATTAATATCTGCCTTATTTCAGGGCCTGATCTTCAGTGTAGTGGTCATTTCACTGTTACAACACTGTCCAGATACAGCAAAAATAATTTACCCCTGGCTGAGTGAAATAATGTCTTAAAAAATTAATTATGCCTAGCTTTGCTTAATCCCTTAATATATACATGCAAAAAATTACATTCTGCACATTCAGTTTCTCTTTCTTTGATACGACATTTTGCAGAAGTATCCTTAAATTTACCTCTTCCTTCTTCTTAGGGTCTGACATGGGATTCCGGAAGAGAGGAGAGTCTCCAAAAGGTGAGTATGTTAGACTATTGATGTGCTGCTGGAGAACAGCCTGCTGGGCAGCAGAAGCATTTGGATCTGTCAAAGCTTATAAAAAAAAAGAAAACAAAATTATATATAAATGCAAGGATACGACGCACTTATAACACAGAGTTCAGTATTCTTTTTGAAGAAATGGTCTTCAAAATGTTCAGATCAATGGTATCATTGGGGCAGAATGTGTGTAGAGCAAACTGTAAAGAAAATCAAGAATCAAATAAGCTAATAGGTCAAATTTAGGAAGAGGTATTTCATAAGATACAGTACTAACATAAATTCACTTACACAGTGTTCACTGTCACTACTAATCAAAGAAAGGAAAATTTAAACCCTGATGAAATATTTTATGCATACCTATCACTGAAATAGCTGCATAAAAAGCCATAGTCTTTGACTTCTAGAGACATATAGACGGGTTTGTCTAAAGGCAATAATATGACAGTATACAGGGCAAGTACTGTGTGTGTGTGCGCGCGTGTGTGCATGCGTGTGTATGTGTATGTAATTGTCTAAAGGAAATAATATGACAATATACAACAGGGCAAGTACTGTGTGTGTTTGTACGCGCGCGCACACACACACACACCCAGGCTGGAGTGTAGCGGCATGATCTTGGCTTGCTGCAACCTCTGCCTCTGGGCTCCAGTGATCCTCTAACCTCAGACTCCCGAGTAGCTGGGACTACAGGGGTGAGTCACCATGCCAACAACAGCGAATTTTCTCTGTGTGTGTGTGGGGGGCGGGGGGGCGGGTGTGGGTTTTTTTTTAAAGAGATGAGGTTTTGCTGTGTTGCCTTGGCCAGTCTTGAACTCCTGAACTTGAGCTATCTGCCCACCTTGGCCTCCCAAAATGCTGGGATTACAGGTGTCAGCCACCACACCTGGCCTCTATTTTTTAACCTCATACTTTTAATCATGAAAATTTAACTCAAGGACTTAATTAAACTAGAAAGAAAATTAAAAAAAATTCCTAAGCATTCAGTGCATATTACATATAACAGTCAAGATATGGAAACAACCTATGGATCCAACATTAATAGTTGTAGGCCGGGTGCGGTAGCTCACGTTTGTAATCCCAGCACTTTGGGAGGCCGTGGCGAGTAGATCACTTGAGGTCAGGAGTTCGAGACCAACCTGGCCAATACAGGGAAACCCCACCTCTACTAAAAACACAAAAAATTAGCTGGGCATGGGAGTGCACACCTATAATCCCAGCTGGAACCCAGGAAGTGGAGGTTGCAGTGAGCCGAGATTGCGCCACTGCACTCCAGCCTGGGTGAAAGAGCGAGACTCTGTCTCAAACAAACAAAAAAAGTTGTAAACATCAGGACACATCATCATAGGTTATGTAGTTATTAAAAATAATAATTACCTTTAAGTAAAATTTCCAGAATAAAAATATTATGTACATTAAGGCTACAGAGGAAGGCAGCACACACAAAAAAATGTGGTTTCCCCCACCCCCCAATCCAGGTGTCTTCCTGAAGAAAACAGTTAGGTTATCCTTCTAAGTTTATTATTTACATTTATTTAACATTCAAATAATATAAACTGAAAGAAAAAAGAAATCACTAAGTCTAATTTTCTCTCAAAGTATAAGAACTTTTGTTATCAATTGCAGAGAATGTAGGGAACAGACATAAGTAACAAAGAACACTATTCACGATCTACCATTGTAACAAGTAAAACAATAAGAAAAAAAGCAAAACCACTACGGTATACCCCGACTGAGGAAGAAACCTTTTTGCAAGATAAAAATCTCTTTCCAAAAATACTGCTCAAAACTCAAATCATACTAAAGTCATTTTACAGGCAAAAATGCTACCTTTTTCCCTTATAAACATTTACAAATAAAGTTACTGCCAAAATATAATACAATAATCCACAGCAAAGGAGTGACATAAAACATTCTGAAAAGTCTCACAAGGTTGTAGGGAGTGGGGAGAGGCAGTATGGAGAACAAAAGCAGTTAAAAAACAAAACAAAACAAAAAAAAACCCAAAAAAACCCAGAATGGGCTGCTATAGCTAAATTAATGAAAACGAAGTATATCCACATTAGTCAAAGGTTTCTTAAAATTGATGTATTCAATAAATACTAAAATATCATAAGTTCATGTTGATATCTAGTAAGACAGGACAAGTTTGCTCAGGATTTCAAACCAAGAGATGTCAACTTTAAGAGCACAAAGTAAATCATCTATATTGAGAAAGTTCCTAAATCCAATTTAAGACCCAAAAATAAAGAAAAGCATTTTTTTAGGGGTACACAGTACTACAGATTAACAGCATACTGTTATTTTGGGGACTATGCAAGCAGACTCAAGAAACATTTTATAGAACTGCAAACCTCACTGGTCATTTTGTTACTGGACAGGCAATTACTCACATAGGAAACTGACCTGTCTTAGTTGATCTCATCATTTAACAAATACAAATCACTCTACCTGGGTGTGCTCAAAAAAAAAAAAAAAAAAAAAAAAAAACCAAAAACTTCCTTTAACAAATCCAAACACAAGAAAGTGTATGAGTGTGTATTTGTATGAATAAATACAAATTTTGTGTTAACTGTAGTATTTAAAGACACAGGTAAGAGAGTATCTTGATAGATTAGCTAAAACAAGAAAACAAACAAGCACTACTAAGCAACTACTAGTATTGCATTCAAGCTTGGTCAAAATAATTTGAAAATTTTCCAAAGAACAAATTCTGAAAAAATTTCGAAAGAAAAGATTACAAAAAACTAAATCATAACCAAATAATTAAAGGGATTGGGAAAAGTATACAAGTCTTCTGATGAAACACAAGAATCTGATGATACTTTATCCAGAAAAATGCCAGTGGGTTACCACAAATAAATTATACTAGGGCGAGGCATGGTGGCTCACACCTATAATCCCAGCACTTTGGGAAGTTGAGGTGAGCAGATTACTTCAGGTCAGGAGTTCATGAATAGCCTCGCCAAATGGGATCTCTACTAAAAATACAAGAATTAGCCGGGCATGGTGACGCGTACCTGTAGTCCCAGCTACTCAGGAGGCTGAGGCAGGAGAATGGCGCAAACCCGGGAGGCGGAGCTTGCAGTGAGCTGAGATCCGGCCACTGCACTCCAGCCCGGGCTACAAAGCAAGACTCCGTCTCAAAAAGAAAAAAGAAAAAAAAAAAGAAATAACAGTAGAACCACTGGGTGGAAACCCTATGGAGGCAGGATTGGGTTTCTAAACAACCAGAACAGAACAACAGACTGTACCGCCTATAAGGAAGCCACCACACCTGAGGTTTTTTTAAGACAAGCTAGACTCACATAATTCTAAAGTACTTTCAACTAAGATTCCGTGGTACAAAGATGTACATTCTAAAAGTAAATACAATTACCTTTAAATGGGCAGTAATGTTAAGACACACAACTTTAATACTAACTAAATTACTGTGTCAGGAACTTTGGAAAAAGAGATGGATCATTAAAAACTAGTCAGAAAGCTATATAAGTAAAAATGGCACTATTAACAATAATTTATACTACTTCCTTCTACTAAAACCAATGAAAAATGAGAAAAAAATAAAATTAAAACGTAATTATTTTTTTGAGACGGAGTCTCGCTGTGTCACCCAGGCTGGAGTGCAGTGGCGCAATCTTGGCTCACTGCAACCTCCATCTCCCGGATAAGGCAATTCTCCTGCCTCGGCCTTGCAAGTAGCTGGGATTACAGGTGCCTGCCGCCACGCCAGGCTGATTTTTGTATTTTTAGTAGAGATGGGGTTTCACCATGTTGGCCAGTCTGGTCGAACTCGTGACCTCAGGTGATCCACCCGCCTTGGCCTCCCAAAGTGCTGGGATTACAGGCGTGAGGCACCGCGCCCAGCCTATTTTTAATGATAAAGCTAAGTATAAAGTTCACACAGAGATCAATGAAAACTCGAAGTCACCTCCTCTCTCTCCAAAGACCTTATTAAAATCTATGGCTAAAAAATATTAAAATGTATATATATAAACCCATAATGACAGAAAATGGGAAGGTGGCAAATGAACACATGAGAAAATCTGACAAATTTCTAGGGGAAAGATGTGGACAGAGGACTGATCAAGCAGGACACAGAAACCTATAGTTTAGAGTACACTCAACAGCAATTACAGTTGACCCTTGAACAACACAAGTTTGAACTGTGTTGATCCACTTACGTGTGGATTTCCTCCTCTGCCATCCCTGAGAGAGCAAGACCAACCCGTTCCTCCCCCTCATGATTTTCTTAATAATATATTCTTTCTTTAGCTTACTTTATAGTAAGAATATAGTACGTACTACATATAATATACATAATGTGTATTAACTGTTTATGCTGTCAGTAAAGCCTGGGAATCAAAGATTATTTGCAAATTTTCAACTGTGTGGGGGTCAGCACCCCTAACCCTCATATTGTCCAAGGGTCTACCAGTATGATCAAATGATGCATATCTACCTTGGAGAATCCCAGATGTCTAGGGACTTGGGAATACCAGGTTTGATGAAGTAAAATTGAAACCAGGAAGAGGAAAGAATTAATGGAAAGTCTAAGCCAGACACGGTGGCTCACACCTGTAATCCCAGCAAATTGGGAGGCTGAGGCGAGAGGATTGCTGGAGGTCAGGAGTTCAAGACCAGCGTAGCTAATATGGTGAAACCCAATCTCTACTGAAAATACAAAAAATAGCCAGGTGTGGTGACATGGGCCTGCAATCCCAGCTACTCAGGAGGCTGAGGAAACAGAATCAATTGAACCTGGGAGGCGAAGGTTACAGTGAGCCAAGATCGAGATCACACCACTACACTCCAGTCTGGGACAGAGAGCAAGACTCTGTCTCAAAAAAAAAAAGATAAATGAAGTTTATATAGAAAACTACATATTGCCATCCTCCTAATCACTGGTGCTCAATACACAGGTCAAAGTATGCCTCTCTCTAAGTAAACACACAAAAAGGAGAAGGGCAACTACTGTGGTTACTGATACCATCCCAGAGCTAAGAATTTGACATTCTAACATTTAGAGGACCCTGTGTCTGATCATAGTTGGTTTCTAGGTTACTCACTCTAAAGTAAAACCTACTGGTAAACGAGCCCTACTCACATACAAAAAGTTGCCAGTGAGCTTTTAAATATAAATACATATATATATAAAATATATATATATATTTTTTTGTAGACAGAGTTTCACACTGTCACCCAGGCTGGAGTGTAGTGGCATGATGTCAGCTTAGTGCAACTTCCGCCTCCCAGGTTCAAGTGATTCTCCCGCCTCAGCCTCCAGAGCAGCTGAGATTACATGCATGTGCCACCATGCCCAGCCAGTTTTTCTATTTGTGGTTGACATGGGGTTTTACCATGTTGGCCGGCTGGTCTCAAACGCTTGACCTCAAGCAATCCGCCCACCTCAGCCTCCCAAAGTGCTGGGATTACAGTCATGAGCCACCGTGTCCAGCCTATTTTTAATCTTAAATAGGAATGAAAAGGACTACCAAGCATTAAAGATTGGTGGCAGGCACCTGTAATCCCAGCTACTCAGGAAGCTGAGGCAGGAGAATTGCTTGAATCTGGGAGGCAGAGGTTGCAGTGAGCCGAGATTATACAACTGCACTCCAGCCTAGGGGACAGAGACTCTGTCTCCAAAAAAAAAAAAAGATAAGAAAACAAATAAGGGTAATAAAAGCAAAGGGAAGGGTACTAATATCCTCATTTGACAAAGAAGACTCAAGAAACACTAGCACCTTGTTGACAGAATAAGAAAAACATGTAAGTATGTAGCTTAAATTTGCAAAGGTGTCTCAAAACGTGACACATGTATCACGACAGTATGGGAGATAATTTAGTGGTACAGAAACAGCTATCTATTCTATTTATCTCAGTTACTCTATTTATGCCAGGTGACAACCAGTTTTTCACTTCCTGTAGAACATCATTTTCTTTTCCTTTTTCTTTTTGTTGAGACGGACTCCCACTCTATCATGCAGGCTGGAATGTAGTGGCGCGATCTCGGCTCACTGCAACCTCCACCTCCCGGGTTCAAGCGATTCTCCTGTCTCAGCCTCCTGAGTATCTGGGATTACAGGCAGGCACCACCATGCCCGGTTGATTTTTGAATTTTTAGTAGATACGAGGTTTCACCATGTTGGCCAGGCTGGTCTCAAACTCCTGACCCCGTGATCCACCCACCTCGGCCTCCCGAAGTGTTGGGATTACAGGCGTGAGCCACCGTGTCTGACCCATAATTTTCCTTAAAAAGCTATTTAAATTAAAAAGTAAGTTAGGCCGGGCGCGGTGGCTCAAGCCTGTAATCCCAGCACTTTGGGAGGCCAAGACGGGCGGATCACGAGGTCAGGAGATCGAGACCATCCTGGCTAACATGGTGAAACCCCGTCTCTACTAAAAAAAAAAAAAAATTAGCCGGGCACGGTGGCAGGCGCCTGTAGTCCCAGCTACTCGGGAGGCTAAAGCAGGAGAATGGCACAAACCCGGGAGGCGGAGCTTGCAGTGAGCTGAGATCCGGCCACTGCACTCCAGCCCGGGCGACAGAGCGAGATTCCGTCTCAAAAAAAAAAAAAAAAAAAAAGTAAGTTAATTTCAGCCAGGCGCAGTGACTCATGCCTGTAATCCCAGCACTTTGGGAGGCCGAGGTGGGCAGATCACGCGGTCAGGAGATCGAGACCATCCTGGCTAACATGGTGAAATCCCGTCTCTATTAAAAATACAAAAAAATTAGCCGGGCATGGTGGCGGGCGCCTGTAGTCCCAGCTACTCAAGAGGCTGAGGCAGGAGAATGGCGTGAATCCAGGAGATGGAGCTTGCAGTGAGCCAAGATCGAGCCACTGCATTCCAGCCTGGGCGACAGAGCAAAACGCCATCTCAAAAAAAAAAAGTAAGTTAATTTCCTTAAGTTCAAAATAAATAATAAAGTGGTAAGTGGACACTTCCAAAGTTCGGAAGGAGTATTCAAATGAATGAAGTATGAAAAACACCTCAGGCTGGGCGCGGTGGCTTACACCTGTAATCCTAGCACATTGGGAAGCCAAGGTGGGTGAATCACGAGGTCAGGAATTCGAGGCCAGCCTGGCCAACACGGTGAAACCCCGTATCTGCTCAAGATACAAAAAAAAAATTAGCTGGGCGTGGTGGTGTGCACCTGTAATCCCAGCTACTTGGGAAGCTGAGGCAGAAGAATCGCTTGAACCCAGGAGGTGGAGGTTGCAGTGAGCTGAGATCACGCCATTGCACTCTAGCTTGGGCAACAGTGCAAGATTCCTTTTCAAAAAAATAAAAGAAAGAAAAACACTTCAATAGATAAAACTAAATTTAGGAAATATAGTAAATTTAGTAAACATAATTATATTGGAAGAAGTAAATAAAGCAGAGGTGATACATGAGCTAAATTCTCATTTACCATAACAGGTTAAATTTACTTAGATTTAATAAACCAAAACACAGCAATATAAGCACATTTAGAGATATTAATTAAATTATATATCAGATGAATTAAAAAGAGCTAACAAAGTGGTTTCTTTGAGAGAGGAGGCCTAGGAGCAGGGAAAGCAGAGTAGGCCAGGATCTATTAATAAGCCCTTCTTTATTACACAATTGTTTAATGACATGCATGTATGTAATGCCTTGCTAGGAATGGGACAGGGTAGGATGGAAAATCAGGTCAGCAAGTATTAGCAAAAAATTAAGAAAAGCCTTCTAAAGTGACTGACACTTACCTACTGGGGCCTGGGGGGCTCCAAAGCCCAAAGTGGCTGTCGTAGTATTAAATCCAGGGGCCCCAAAGGCTCCTGTACCAAGAGGCCCTCCAATCTTAGGTTGGTTGTTCCCAAACAAAGATGCCTGTCCAGCACCAAGAGCTACGGAGACAAGAGGAAAGAAAAAAGCACCACAGAAGATTCTTTCAGTGTTGTGCCAGAGGTCAGTTACTTAAAAATACAATACATTTGGAAACTTCATAATGACCACTCATTTCAACAAAGGGGTGAATATGGTAAGTGCTACTTCAGGTCAAGCACTGGGTCAGTACGCTATACACATCACAGGTAAAATACTAAAATCTCTCTGTGCTTCAGTTTCCTCAACTATAACATGAAGTAACATATAGCTTAGACATTTATCATAAAATTAAAATGAATAAACATTCATAAAGCATTTAGAAGAGATCAGGTACATACTATATGCTCATCAAAATTAGCTGGTATGTCTGATGTAGAAACTATTATTCCCATTTAACAGAGGAGAAAACTTAGGGTTTAGTAATTAGCATGATGCCACAATGTTATAAATGATAGAAATGGGGTTCAAACCTAGGTGTACTTGACAACCAGGCCTCTTAACTGCCTCTCTACAGCAGAACAGATTTCCAAAGAATTTTTAAAAATTATTCTTAAAATTCAATACTTGCAAATCAAAATACTCAACACAATCATGTCATCTTTCTTAGAGACTGAACTATAGAAAAACTAAATCCAACATATTGTCTTTCACTAATACAATGTAACACTTTCAATTTTACCATCTCATGAAAACTGCTTTATCCAGACAAACTTGTTTTACAAAAAGCTCAATATCTCCTAGTGAGGTTACTAAACAGACTCAAATTTCAGCACGAACCAGAGTGGCTGGACTAAGAACTCATTTTCATCAGAGGGAACCCATTGCAGAAACTTGTATTGCTGAATTTTGCTTAGGGAATCCTTGTTGTCAGCGGTGATTTTAGAAGTGTAAAATAGGGGAGAATATGGTGAATACAAGTTACTGGCATTATCAAAAAAAAAAAAAATCCATTCAATTTCCCAACATGTTTCCCCAAAATTATTGGCAATTTATAAGATTTAAGGTTCCTTTAAAAAAAAAAGAGAGAAAGAGACCGGATCTCATTATGTCACCCAGGCTGAGCCCTGGGCGCAAGTAATCCTCCCACCTCAGCCTCCAGAGTAGCTGGGACTACAGGCATGCATCACTAGGCATGGCTTCTGAAGTTCTTTTTAACATATCAACTGCACCTTGAAACAAGTATCACTTACCAGGAAAATCACTTTAAAGATATAATACTTGCAGGTCAAAAATATTGTATGGGAACTGCTTTGAGATCACAATCAAAAAAGAACAGGAAGTTTATACCAAGACAATGCACACAATATAAATCAGTAAGGATGACTACTGAACAAATTACTCTGACTGTCCAACCTCATTAAAAATAAGACAACAGGGCCGGGCGCAGTGCCTCACACCTGTAATCCCACACTTTGGGAGGCCGAGAAAGGTGGATCACCTGAAGTCAAGAGTTCAAGACCAGCCTGACCAACATGGAGAAACCCCGTCTCTACTAAAAATACAAAAATTAGCTGGGTGTGGCAGCGCATGCCTGTAATCCCAACTACTTGGGAGGCTGAGGCAGGAGAATCACTTGAACCCAGCAGGCGGAGGTTGTGGTGAGCTGAGATCACACCATTGCCCTCCAGCCTGGGCAACAAGAGTGAAACTTAGTCTCAAAAAAAAAAAAAAAAAAAAAAGACAACATTGTAGCAATAACAATATTAAAGTTCTAAACCATTAGTAATTAACGTAAGCTCCAAGAAATACTAAAATTATATTTCTTCATCAAAGGAAATAGTTTACAGCACCAATTACAGAATTTTTTATTTTCTGGTAGTCTAATACCTCCTTGCCTCCAAACAAAAAGGTAAAACTCAAATATATAAAATAGATGAAAAATTCTACTCTAAATGTGTATTGCCCTCACCTTTACAGCATCCCTGGATGATGACCGATGAATCAGTCTAAAATCACTGTACTGTATTTCAATAATCCACAGAAGAATAAAAAAAGGCACTGTGGGCCGGGCGCGGTGGCTCACGCCTGTAATCCTAGCACTTTGGGAAGCCAAGGAGGGCAGATCACCTAAGGTCAGGAGTTCGAGACCAGCTTGACAAACATGGAGAAACCCTGTCTCTTCTAAAAATACAAAATTAGCTGGGCGTGGCGGCACATGCCTATAATCCCATCTACTCGGGAAGGCTGAAGCAGGAGAATCGCTTGAACCCAGGAGGTGGAGGTTGCAGTGAGCTGAGATCACGCCATTGCACTCCAGCCTGGGCAACAAGAGCAAAACTCCATCTCAAAAAACAACAACAACAACAAAAAAAACAAGGCACTGTGAGGTTTGGGTTGTCTGTAAAGGAATTATCATAAAATGACTACTGACTATTGCAATTTATCAATGGAAAAATAGGTATTTTTATCCAGATTTGCCTTGTTTTATGCACAAACGGCTTTTTGTTTAATGAAAGAACTAATGGTCCAGAATATGAGAGACATTCTGAGTGCGATGTTGTGTGATATAATAAAGTTTTGGTAATTCGTCAAGATAGGAAAAATGTGCTATATTTATGATTAGCTGTAGCAGTTATAAAGAAGCAATATGGGGGGCAAAATGGTAATAGCGGCCTTAGAAACTCCACAGAAAATCAAGAAAAAATTGAAAATGGTTATTTTCCTTTTGAGACATTCCAAAATTGTTAGAATTTATTAAATTGATCTGAGGCATCTATTAGCACCAGAAAGATTTTTCTATGTGTCTCTTAGTATTACAATCAACCTTACTATATGTAGCCATTACTTCAAGGAAAATCTGTAGAACGAAGGTTTACTATTATTAATAAGTAACCAAGGCAATGGTGTGCAATTGATAGTGCTAATGATAGTTAATATCACTATAAAACAAGAAATGATTATGTCCATGAATTAATGGATGTTTCTTAGTCTGAACACATAGTGCAGGAGAAAATCACATGCCAAGGGACAGTATAAAACCTTTTATACTAAGATTGGTTTCTTAAATCTAAGCATACAAAAAAATCTTGTGTATCTGTACATTTAACATTTGTATATCACAACTAATCATTAAGTACCCAAATGCCCATGTTACAGGAGGCTTGAGTTTGAATCTCCATCACTGAAAATAAGAAGTTGCAGAGAAACACCCATTTAGCTAATGCCTCCCAAAAATACAGCTGAAAGCTACAGCGCTAGTCTACCTGTTAAACAATGAAATGCAGAGTTCAGGAATGTGGGTGTTTGTTAAACCATGAAATGCAGAGTTCAGGAATGTGGGTGTTTATATGCAAGTCTCAGGAAATGTTCCTCTCAAAGCCAAGGGCCTGCTTTAGCAGATGTGATAATTAGGGAATTGCAACAGTGTGTGTGCCTGGTGACTCACAATTCTCATTTCCCTACATGATACACTGCTGCTAAGGTTGTGGGTGTAAAATTCTTAATTGATTGTATCCATCTTTTAGTTTATAGGAGAGGCATGTATAAGGAATATACAACAGCGACACAAATGCAGTTTGTTTGTTGTGAGAGAGAACTGTCGGAGGAAAACAGAGTATATTAAAATAAAATGTTAGGATATTACATTATTGTGGAATAAGAGACAAAAGCATCAGAAAAGGAATTACAAAGTCTTGGAATATGGGGGAAGACATTGCTAATCAAAACCTACAAGATTCAGGAGCCAAAGAGAAAGTAATTCTGATCACATAAAAATAAAAGTTGTGGCTGGGTGCAGTGGCTCATGACTGTAATCCCAGTACTTTGGGAGGCTGAAGCAGGGGTATCACGAGGTCAAGAGTTCCAGACTAGCCTGGCCAAAATGGTGAAACTCCATTTCTACTAAAAATACAAAAATTAGGCTGAGGTAGAAGAATTGCTTGAATCCGGGAGGCAGAGGTTGCGGTGAGCCGAGATCACGCCACTGCACTCCAGCCTAGGCAAGAGCAAGAGTCCATCTTGGAAAAAAATAAAATAAAACTTGCGGTGGGCAGGGGGGGAGGGATAGCATTAGGAGATACACCTAATGTAAATGACGAGTTAATGGGTGCAGCACACCAACATGGCACATGTATACATATATAACAAACCTGCACATTGTGCACATGTAACCTAGAACATAAAGTATAATAATTAAAACAAAAAAAAAAATCACAAAACAACTTGTGGCCCAGTGCAGTGGCTCAAACCTCTAAACCCAGCACTCTGGGAGGCTGAGGCAGGTGGATCACCTGAGGTCAGTAGTTCAAGACTAGCCTGGCCAACATGGTGAAATTCCGTCTCTACTAAAATTACAAAAAATATTTTAAAAAAAGAAAAGCCTTCGTTAATTCGAATTTGAGCAAAAAAGAAAAGAAAAGCCTTCCTTAATTTGTCCGTACCAAAGCTATTTTTTCCTACAGGGTTGGAAGAAAACATGTGATTTCAAATGATACATTCTGCATATGTTTAGGGATCACACGGTACAACGAAATGAGAGCTTTTAAGTTTTAATTTCTTGCAAAATTTATGTGGCAGAAGTTGGATAAGTTGAAAAGCTCAAATGAAATTCTTTCTGGGGTATAATGGGGAATTTTCATTAAAAAAAAAAAAAACACCTATTATATAACCAAAAAGAGTTAATATCCACGATACGTAAAGCATCCTTAAAAATAAATTAAGAGGCCAGGCACGGTGGCTCACGCCTGTAATCCCAGCACTTTGGGAAGCCGAGGCTGGTGGATCACTTGAGGCCAGGAGTTCGAGACCAGCCTGATCAACATGGTGAAATCTCATCTCTAACTAAAAAAATGCAAAATGAGCCGGGTGCAGTGGCGCATGCCTATAATCCCAGCTACTTAGGAGGCTGAGGCAGGAGAATCACTTGAACCTGGGAGGTGGAGGTTGCTGTGAGCTGAGATCACACCACTGTACTCCAGCCTGGGCAACAAGAGAAACTCAGTCTCAAAATAAATAAATAAATAAATAAATAAACAAATAAATAAAATGTAAATTAACAAGAATCTCAAGTTAGGAGTAGGTGCAGAAAAAAAGAAACAGTAATTCAACACTTTGAACAGAAAACTGACTCAAATGGTAAATAAAAAAACAAAGATATTCACCTTTGCCAGTAATCAGTGAAGTACAAATTGGAATTCACCAATTTCTACTATCATGTATGCAAAGACAAAAAAGCCCAACAATATGGAAAATACAGAAACATGGACATTTTATATAATGTGAGCAACACAAACTGGTATTATTTTTGAAAGGCAAATTAGTAAATCCAACCAAAATCTGAAATATGCATATCTTCCAACACTGCAATTCCAAGTTGATGTAGCAATCCTACAATAAACTAACACATGGAAAATTATGTAACAAAAAATCTTCACTGAGGGCTTTGCCAACATTATCAAGTAACTCAAATGTCCATCAATAGATGAAATGTTAAATAAGTAAAGGTATATGTATGATGTGTGTAAATTGTGTGTTTTTAATGGAATACTAAAAAATTTTGGGGGGAATGAGAAAAAAGTCTCATTCCCATCAACCTGTGTGGAGAGCAGTGGAATGATCACTGCTCACTGCAGTCTTGACTTCCAAAGCTCGGGTGATTCTCCCACCTCAGCCTCCCGAGTAGCTCGGACTACAGGGACAAGCCACCAAGCCCAGCTAACTTTTTGCATTTTTAGTACAGACAGGGTCTCCCTATGTTACCCAAGCAATCCGCCCACCTCAGTCTCCCAAAGACCTGGGATTACAAGCATGAGCTACCTCATCCAGCTCTAAATAGGGTTTTTAAAAATGAGATTGATCTGTATGTACTGACCAAAAGAAAAACTGGTATTATGTGAAATGAAAATACAAGTCACAGAACACTATGTAAGACAGTGCTTTCAAACATTTTCGACTACAGCACATGCTATGAGAAACACTGAGATCCAAAACACATAAACACAAACACAACTGAAACAAAGTTTCATAAAAGAATATTAACCTTAATATTTCAAATGATTTTTTTTTTTTTAAAGACAGAGTCTCATTCTGTTACCCAGGCTGGGGTACAGTGGTACGATTATAACCCACTGCAGCATCTACCTCCCAGGCTCAAGTGATCCTCCCACAGCATATCTCATTCAGCTGCTTGAGTAGCTAGGACTACAGGCACATGTCACCATGCATATCTATTTTATTTATTTATTTATTTTTATAGTATCTTACTATGTTGCTCAAGATGATGTTAAACTCCTGACCTCAAGCAATCCTGCCTAGGCCTCCCAAAGTGCTGGGATTACAAGCATAACCCATTAGGCCCAGCCTACTGATTTTTAATTCTACTTCATTTTCTTAAAATGCTGATTGCAGGCAACTATATTAATTATAACCAACTCATGCATCTCAGCCTTTGGCTTAAAAGTCACTCATACAGGGTATAGTTTCCATTTAAAAATATAATCCTAGGCTGGGCACGGTGGCTCACACCCGTAATCCTAACACTTTGGGAGGCCAAGGCAGGGGGATCACCTGAGGTCGGGAGTTTGAGACCAGCCTGACCAACATGGAGAAACCCCGTCTCTACTAAAAATACAAAATTAGCTGGGCATGGGGGCGCATGCCTGTAATCCCAGCTACTCGGGAGGCTGAGGCAGGAGAATCGCTTGAACCCGGGAGGCGGAGGTTGTGGTGAGCCAAGATCGCACCACTGCACTCCAGCCTGGGGAACAAGAGCGAAACTCCATCTCAAAAAACAAACAAGAATATAATCCTAACCCCTAAATATAAGACATGTATGTATAGACGTGTGTGTGTGTGTAAACATGTCCGAAAAATGCACAGAAAGGAGTCTGACAAGATACATGCCCAACAAACCTCATCACTTCACAGTTGAAAAAGACGGGGCTTTTCATGAAACTTCTGAATTGTTAAAAACTTTTTACCAGCACTTACATCTTTTATCTTAAGCAGGGAGCATTGACTCATGCCTGTATTCCCAGCACTTTAAGAGCTCAAGGCAGGAGGATGGCTTCAGCCCAGGGGTTCGAGACCAGACTGGGCAAAACAGGCCAACGTCATCTCTCCAAAATATTAAAAAATTAGCCGAGCATGGTGGCTTGCATCTGTTGTCCCAATTACTAGGGAGGCTGAGGTGGCAGGATGGTTTGAGTCCGGGAGGTAGAGGCTGCAATGAGCTGTGATCATGCCAATGCACTCCAGCCTGGGCAACAGAGCAAGAACCTGTCTCAAAACAAAACACCTTTTATCTTAAAAAGAAAACTGAAGGCTGGGCGCAGTGGCTCATGCCTGTAATCCCAGCACTGAAGGAGGCTGAAGCAGGAGGATCACGAACTCAGGAGTTCAAGACCAGCCTGGCCAACACAGTGAAACCCTGTCCCTACTAAAAACACAAAAATTAGCTGGGCGTGGTGGCATGCAACAGTAGTCCCCGCTATTTGGGAGGTGGAGGTTGCAGTGAGCCGGGATTACGCCACTGCACTCCAGCCTGGGGGATGGAGCAAGACTCCATCTGGAAAAAAAAAAAAAAAGGAAAATTGAAAAAAATAAAAATAAAAACCACAAAAGCAACTCATAGTATAAAATGAGGTTCCATTAAGAAGGAAATGACAGCCAGGCACAGTGGCTTGCACCTGTAAATCCCAGCACTTTGGAGGCCGAGGAGGGAGGACCACCTGAGGTCAGGAGTTCAAGAGCAGCCTGACCAACATAGTGAAACCCCGTCTCTACTAAAAATACAATGATTAGCGAAGCATGGTGGTGTACACCTGTAATCCCAGCTACTAGGAAGGCTGAGGGAGGAGAATTGCTTCAACCTGGGAGGCAGAGATTGCAGTGAGCTGCGACTGCACCACTGCACTCCAGCCTGAACTACAGAGCAAGACTCCGTCTCCAAAACAAAAAACAAAAAACAAACAAACAAAAAAGAAGGAAATGACAGATGAATGCTCAGATGATAGAAGGGAAAAAAACAGATTAACTGGACAGTGGAAGCAGAGACTATGGAAATGGTTTAACACTAACTGACCACACCTGCAGGCAAATGAACTGAAAAAGTAGGCTAAACTCTGTTTAAACAACCTCGTTTTACTGTACATGCGAAAACATTTTATATCTTATGACCATCATCGCCCTCCAACTGTTTAAAAACAACTAGGCAGGTAGAAGGGTTGGTATCTTCAAAGGCACTGAAATATAGTTGTTAACAGTAGGAATCAGGGAAAAGGGGTGACACTGGTCTATATGACAATCGAACTAAATGAAATTCTCCTTGCAAAGGAGAATTACATCAGCATGTGCTCTTATTGCTCTGCCTTTCTATTAGGGCTTACTTTGATAAACAGTTTAAGGCCTCAAATCCCTGTTACAAAAGTAACATGGGGAAACTGAAAGTTAATGTCCTCATGATAATTCTCATATTGAACACTAACAATCTCAAATAGACAGGACTATCAGAGGATACTTTGTAGAAAAGGGAGCATACAGCTTCTAAGACAAATGTGCCAATATTTTAAAGCCTGGTAAAGCATAACTGCTGGGAATGTTTTATAAACCCAACTAGAAAAACGAAAAGGTAGACTTCTTAATTCCAGTAATATAATCAAATAGATCTCTCATGTTCCAGAAACTAGAAAGTCAAGTTGTGTCACTTCCTAGATCTCATGGTAGCAGTTTCTTACCTGTTCCAAATCCTGCACCAAGCCCAGTTCCAAGAGTCCCAGGTGCTGGTTTACTTCCAAAAATACTATTCCCACTGGTATTTGTGCCGAAACCTAGGAAAACAAAAGAATGAGTGGACTGTACTTTTAATATAACTCTCAATTTCCTCTATAAGGGTGTTTAACACAAAGCAGTCTGACTCTAAGTTGTGAACCTTTCAGTTAATATTTAGGACTCCTAACTTGTAGGATAACTTTAAAAAAACATTTTCACATATGCTAACAAGTCTTCATATTTACTTAATTACATTTCAGCCTTGAAATATCAATTCAGAGGCCAGGCGTGGTGGCTCACGCCTGCAATCCCCCACTACTTTGGGAGGCCGAGGCAGAAGGATCACCTGAAGTCAGGAGTTCAAGAGGAGCCTGGCCAACATGGTGAAACCCCGTCTCTACAAAAATACAAAAAAAATTGGCCAGGCATGATGGTGGGTGCCTGTAATCCCAGCTACTCAGGAGGCTGACGTGGGAAAATCGTTTGAACCCAGGAGAGAGAGGTTGCGGTGAGCCTAGATCGCGCCACTGCACTCCAGCCTGGGCGACAGAGCAGGACTCTGTCTCAAAAACAAATAAAAATAAGTAAATAAAATAAAGAAGTATCAATTCAATACAGGATAATATCAATATTCAAGCAAAGTGAATGTGTTTGAGCTTTGGGAACATTGCCTTTGTGAGGCCCAAAGCTTTCAATGCATGATTCAGGTTTATTTAGAAGAAAAATTCACTCCTCCTAAGTTGTACTAAAAAAATAAAACAATTGGCCAGGCGTGCTGGCTCACACCTGTAACCCCAACACTTTGGGAGGCCAAGGTGGGCGGATCATGAGGTCAGGAGTTCGAGAACAGCCTGGGGAACATGGTGAAAACCCGTCTCTACAAAAAATACAAAATTAGCCAGGCATGGTGGCGCATGCCTATAATCCCAGCTACTTGGGAGGCTGAGGCAGGAGAATCACTTGAACCCGGGAGACAGCAGTTGCAGTGAGCCAAGATCGCGCCACTGCACTCCAGCTTGGATAGAGTAAGACTCTGTTTCAAAAAAAAATGCAATACAATAAAATAAAAATAAAACAATCAACAAAGACACTTTAACTGAACCTAAAGGTCCTTGCTAACAAAAAAATTACCTACAAAACTCTCTATAGTAGCTTTTATTTTGAACAGACGAACCAGGCCTGGATAGTAAGGTGTAACTGATTACACATGAGAAGTCTCCTTCACTATGAGCCACCATTTAGACGAAATCCTATAATTCCCCTTTAAAATCCACAGGTGTCAGCCGGGCACGGTGGCTGGCAACTGTAATCCCAGCACTTTGGGAGGCCAAGGTGGGCAGGTCACTGGAGGTTACAAGTTCAAGACCAGTCTGGCCAACATGGAGAAACCCCATCTCTACTAAAAATACACAAATTAGCTGGCATGGTGGTGCACACCCAGAATCCTAACTACTTGGGAGGCTGAAGCAGGACAATCACTTGAATCCAGGAGGCAGAGGCTGCAGTAAGTCGAGATCACACCATTGCACTCCAGCCTAGGTGACATAGCGAGACACTAGCTCAAAAAAAAAAAAAAAAAAAGAAAAAAACAAAAAACCATAGGTGTCAAACAAAGATCCTATTCTGTACTGCTGCCATTACTTTTCTTTTGTTCACCTATGTTCACAAAGTTTCATTATTCCTTTTGGAACTAAATAGCAACGAAACAATTAATGAATATGTCATTAATTTCTAGTAAGAGAAAAAAATAACTAGTCAGAAAACCCTGTTTGTAAAATATATGAAGTCATTTAAAAGTCATAAAGTACTGGGCACGATGGCTCACACCTGTAATCCCAACACGTTGGGAGGCAGAGGCAGGTAGATTATTTGAGGTCAGGAGTTTAAGACCAGCCTGGCCAACATGTGAAACCTCTTCTTTACTACCACAAAAAAAAAAAAAGCTGGCTGTGGTGGTGCACGCTTGTAATTCCAGCGACTTGGGAGGCTGAGGCAGGAAGATCGCTTGAACCAAGGAGACAGAGGGTTGCAGTGAGCTGAGATCACACCACTGCACTCCAGCCTGGGCAATGGAGCAAGACTCCGTCTCCAAAAGAAAAAAAAAATCATGGACTGAAACCAGTCCAAAAAGATAACAAACACAGTAAAGAGACTATTTTGGAACAGACGAAAAAGTATCACTAATATCATAGTTTGTCGTGTCAGTACTTGGATTATTATCTCAACGAAAAAAAAAATCAAGAAAAAAGCTGAAGAATGTAAAAGTTCAAAAACAATAGTATTTCATGTCATTTTAAAATCCAAGCAAATAGGCCGGGCACAGTGACTCACACCTGTAATCCCATCACTTTGGGAGGCCTAGGCGGGTGGATCACAAGGTCAGGAGTTCAAGACCAGCCTGGCCAAGATGGTGAAATCCCGTATCTACCAAAAATACAAAAATTAGCAGGGCGTGGTGGCAGGTGCCTATAATCCCAGCTACTCGGGAGACTAAGGCAGAGAATTGCTTGAATCCGGGAGGTGATGGTTGCAGTGAGCCAAAATCATGCCACTGCACTCCAGCCTGGGTGACAGAGAGAGAATCCATCTCAAAAAAAAAATAAATACATAAAATAAAATCCAAACAAGTAAATTGACTTAATTGCTATATATTTGACTCAGACATTCATTGAATCTCTTTTTGAATTGTTCTAATAGCTATGCCACAAAAATGGAGTGCTGCTTACTCAAATATCATCAATTTTCCCTGATGAAAAAATAGAAAATGTACTTGGAGACTTTTCTTTTGAATAAAAATTTAATCAAAAGGGATCTTACAGCCCCATAAGTAGCAGAAAACAAGATACTCGTGAACTACCTCAAACCCACAGGAGGGAAATAAATCCCAACTTACACTGTTTATACCACACATTTCCTCCGATTCTCACGGACAAGTTTATTGACTTGTAAAATTCAATTTTAAAAATAACAATTAAAAAGACAATTCAAATTCAGCACACAAGTTAGTAAGGCAACTCAGATAAAGATGACACCTTTCATTTTCCTATCACTGAACACGACTGTAAATATATTCACACACCAAAAAAAAAAAAAGAACTCTAAGCAAATCAGAAATCTGCAACCATAGATTAACATCATATATATCTTAAAAAAAAATTTTATCGGCCAGGCACAGTGGCTCACGCCTGTAATCCCAGCACTTTGTAAGGTCAAGGCAGGCGGATCACCAGAGCTCAGGACTTTGAGGCCAGCCTGGGTGACATGGTAAATCCTGTCTCTATAAAAATACAAATATTAGCCAGATGTAGTAGCACATGCCTGTAGTCCCAGCTACTCAGGAGGCTGAGGTGGGAGGATCACTTGAGCCCAGGAGGCGGAGGTTGCAGTGAGCTGAGATCACACCAGTACACTCTAGCCTAGGAGACAGAGTGAGAGAAGAGAGAAGAGAAGAGAGAAGAGAGGAGAAAGAAGAGAAGGAAAGAAAAGAAAAAAAAGGAAGGAAAGAAAGAAAGGAAAGAAAGGGAAGGAAGGAAGGAAGGAAGGAAGGAAGGAAGGAAGGAAGGAA